AAAGGAGACAGGGAAAGGGTAACCACAGGGAAGAAGTCGGAGGAACGTAACCAGTGTCACAAAACAAAATGTGTATGAACTGCTGAATGTAAAACTTCACCCAAATCACAATAAAAAGCCCCCCCCCCCACCAAAAAAAAAGGAACACCATTATCTACTAGGGTAATATGCAAAGAAGCCTGTCAGAGGATGCTTAGCATCTACTTTAACTTATACTTCCTACTCTACTAAGTGCTGGGAGCTCTGGTGGTATAGTCTAAGCCATTTAGCTGCTAACCAAGGGCTGGTGGTTCAAACTCACCAGCCACTCCTTGGAAGGAAGACTGGGTAATCTAATTCTGTAGAGATACTGTTCTGGTTACCTAGTGCCGCTCTGAAAAGAAATATAACACAAATGGGATGGCCTTAAACAAACAGGAGTTTATTCTTACAATTTGGGGGCTTTAAGTCCAAGTTCAAAGTTCCAGGCTCTAGGGGCTGAGTAAAAGCCCCTCTACCTTGGGAACCAGCTCTGCCTCCTCCTCCTGGTCCACTGGAACTAGAGGCTTTTCTTCACTCAGACAGCTGCTGGCTGCTGAGGCTGAGAAACCCCAAGGTTGACAAGTAAAAAGGCCCAGTCCTGATGTTTCCACACGGCAGGCCATTGACTTAAGTCCATTGTAAGTCCCCAGGTCGGCAGAGCACAGCAGGCTGCTCAACAAAGACACGGCTACATGCAGGGTCCAAGCGTGCCATAGGCTAAAGGCCATACCCAAAGGCTTCTCCTTATATACAGGAAGCAGACCACATACCCAAAGGCAGCTACTCAGCTGCTTGTGGTAGATCCCACCATGGAGTTGATTGCCAGTCTCCTCATGGGGATTAACTACCACCACTCAACCAGGCCCAAGTTGACACACAAACTGAACTACCACAGATACTGCCTTGGAAACCCAAGGAGAGTCGCTATTAGTCGGGATCAACTTGACGGCAGTGAATTTGGTAGTTTTTTTTTTTGTTTTGTTTTGTTTACTAAGTACTATGGACTGTAACAGACATAGCTCCTGCATCCTATGAGTCTAAAATCTTAAAGAATAGGTAAGACATGAGTTAAGAGGTGAGGGGTTTTATACCAAATCTTCCACCAATGGTGGGCACACACACATGCAAGTCTAAATGTGCTATCGCCAAACATGCCTCTGTTCCCCAGGGCTCCAAAAAAAAATACCCTTGCTTTATGCTAACATTTCTCCTTCCTCATTTTGCTTGACTTGAACATCATTTGACATAGAGCTCCCTCGTTAATCATTTGACACTATTTCTGCGTTAAAATACTACTTCTTTAAGGCTCTGGCACTCTTTTCCCTCCTGGCTCTCCTCCTACCTCACTGGCCAGTCATCTTCACTCTTCTTTGCTAACTCCTCCTCATCTACCCAATCTCTAAATCTTGGACTTCCCTCAGACCTCTTTTTTCTACCTATACTCAGTCCTTGATGATCAGTCTCATGGCTGTAAAATACCATCTATACACTGACAACTCCCAAATGTATTACTCAGACTGGATCTCTAGGCACTTGGGCCTCAAATTTAACATGTACAAAACTGAACTCCTGATACCCTTCTCTCACCCAAACCTGCTTCTAGGGCCATCTTTCCCATTTCACAATGCAACTTCATTCTTTCAGGTCTTCAGGCCAGAATTTGATGACTCTTCTCTTCCTTTCCACTCCACAGTTAATCTACCAGCAAAATGCTTTTTAGTTCTACCTTGAAAATACACACAGAACTTGTTATCTACAAGTGCTAGTTCCTTGGCAACTAGATGGACTGCTGGTCTCCATGCTTTCTCTCCTGCCTCCCTTCAATCTATTCTTCACACAATCAAGTCAATGAGATCATTTCCTCTGCTCAAAACTCTCAAATGAGCTCCTCGTATCACTAAACATTAAGGTGAAGAACTTCTTACTATATTTTACAAGTCCTAGAGGATCTGGTCTGCTTCCTATCCTTCATTCCTCCCTCTCAAACCTCTCTGGCGTCATTATTTTGTACTCTCCTTCACTCTGTCTTGGCCTTCCTGTTCTTCTTTGAACATAGCAACGATGTTTTTGCCTCAGGTCCCTCTGTTGGGACCACCTCCTCCTAGAGGTCCTCATAGCTCTGTCTTTCAGCTCCTGTTTAAGCTCAAATATCACCTCATTAGTGACGGCTTCTCTAACCACTCGATATAAAATAGTGACCTACCACTCCTACTCCTTATCTACCTTACCCTGCTTTTTTTCTTTTTTCCCTTCAGGATACTTACTGCTCCCTGGCACACTATATATTTGTTTGCTGTGCCTCAACTAGGATGTAAGCTACACAAAGGTAATGTTTTTTATCATCAGCTTCTAGAATTGTACCTGGCATTTATTAGGCACGTAAATTGTCCTGAACAAATGAAGGAAAGAAATAGAGCTCTAGGTATTATTATTACTGCTTTTATTTATAAAAGATTCCCAGATCAAGATTGGTCAGGAAGAATTATCATCTTTATTTATTAGCATACAGCAAAAATAATTATACTTAAAGCCCTCAAATCACCAGTCCAAGATTTAAATAACAACAAAAGAATAAATATATGATTACAGAAATAATCAGAGAGGTGGCAACGCATGTAGAAAACAAGTAACTTCCTTACTCCAGAAAGGGGGCCCTTGCGCCTCTGAGCCCCTTTCCAAGTTGCACACACGATATCTGGTATTTAGGATGACAATATATAAATTCCTTTTTAACTGTGTAAAATTTCCTTTGGGAGCTCTGGTAGCATAGTGGCTAAGACACTTGCCTGCTAACCAGACGGCTGGCAGTTCAAACCCACCAGCCACTCCTCGGAAGGAAGGTT